TACGGTAGAAAAAATGTCTCTAGGGGTTATCTACGACAGAAAATATGTTCCCAGGGATCATCTATAGGCTCCAGAGTCCATCTACAATAGAGCAGATATCCCGACAGATCACCTATGGTAGAGTAGATGCTCCCAGGGGCCATCTACAATAGAGGAAAAGCCTACAATAGAATGGATTTCCCAAGAGTCCATATACAATAGAGTTAAGGCCTTTTGGAACCATCTATAATGGAGTATATGCTCCCAGGGGCCATCAGCAATAGAGTATATGTTTTTAAGGACTATCTACGGTATCCCAAGGGATAATCTACGGTAGAGAAGATGTGCCCAAGGACCATCTACGCTAGAGTAGATGTCCCCAGGGACCGTCTACGGTAAAGTAGATATCTCCATGGACCATCTGCGGTAAAATAGATGTTCCCATGGACCATTTACATTAAAGTAGATCACCTCAGAGTAGATCAAAATAGAGTAGATGTTCTCTGATACCATCTACGGTGGAGTACATGTCGCTATGGAGCATGTACGGTATAGTAAATGTCCCTGTAGAGAATCTATGATATTTTAGATGTCTCTATAGAACATCTACGTTAAAGCAGATGTCCCCATAGACAATCTACATTTAAATAGATGTCCCCAGGGACCACCTACGATAATGTAGATGCCCCATGGACCATTTACAATAGAGTAGATGCTCCCGGGGACCGCCTGTTTCTTCTTCTTTGTTTCTCTTCTGATAACCCCCGCCTGCACCCTCATTATCAACATTCTGATAATTATCAAAGTATCTCCCCCGCCACTGGCAATTGGTTTGATGAATTTGATTTATAAGCAAGTTAAAGTAATATAATTTCGAGTATAACCAATTAATTGGGTGGGGTTATGGACTTGAGATAAGCAGGGAAAAAATAAGAGCAAAAAAAAAAAAAAGATTTATAGATTTATCAATAAAATAAAACAACAACAAAAACAACAACATGGCATTATGGTAGGCAACAAATTAAGTGACAATAGCATCAAGCCAATACCATCCAGCCAGGCTGATAAGATAATAATCTGGGAAATTGTTATATGTATACATGCGACTGTCTAATAATCTTGAGTTCCGATGATAGATCCAATGTCGGACATTATACGCAACACAATAACCTTCAATGCAGGAGGCAGCTATATTACGTTCGAAGTACAAGCAACTTTCTATTATTATTCGAACAGATAATGGTTGTTCTTTCTCATTCACCCTCTCTCCCCTCTCTCTCTCGCTCTCACTCTCAATGGTGTTGACTTGGGGTTTCTATCTATTCTATTTGTGGGTTTTTATTTTTTGCTGAATATAAATACAAATCTCTCGATTGACCACCTTTAATAAACCTTTGCCCTTACCCAGCCATAATAGCGAGATTGTCTGTGCAACACTCTCACACACACGTTTCATTGCTAGACCCCAGCTGATAACCTCTGGTTGTTATAACGCAACAACTTTGACTTGTATTATCTGTCTTGTTGTGAAGCTACGCCACACAGAGGTTGCCCCTGCCGACAATAAATAAATTGTGAAAGACATTCAACCAAAAAAAAAGTAGGGAAAAAAAAAAGAATCTTGGAAATATGATGAGTTTTGCTTGGCTTCTTACTTAACAATTGTGCTTGGGCCATAATCTCGGAACCGAGAAGCAAACCGAAACCAAATGGCTGATAACAACTCCGGGCAGCAGAGGCAGACAGACACAATGTCAGACGCAGAGGCAGATAGTCAGACAGACAGCAATGAAAGCGAAAGAATCAACAACGATTGAAGATTTCACATACTGACAAAAATGTGTTCTACACTTCCAGGGGTGATGATGATATCTCCTCTACTCACCACTCCACTCCCTCCTCCCTCATCATTTCTTTGACCATGTTGTGAGTAATTTTTTTTTTTTCTCACAGACTGGCACAATCTCAATTCTCTATTGACATCAATTGTAAATTTATATATTTTTTTCGTATTTTTGCATCATCGACAAGTAAACAGACCGACCGACGGACGGATGGACAGACATACAAACACAGTTCCATGGAAAATTATAAATAAGTCAACCATAAAAATATCAATAAGAAAACGAAGTAGAATGAAAAAAAAAAACAAAATTAAAGAAAAATAAATAGCTAAGGAGGAAATGGAAATGTTTACAACCTTCAACTGGGAGGAGGTGACAAGTTGGACAAAATAATACGAAGAAAAAAGCATCTACAATGACATAGATGTCCCTTAGTGGTTGTCTACAATGGAGTAGATGCCCCCAGGGGAGATCTATAATAGAGAAAATATAGCTAGGAGAGATCTATAAGAGAGTAGGTGCCGCTAGGGCCATCTACAATAGAGTATATGCGACAAGAGGCGATTCACAATAGGGTAAATACCAACAACGGCTCCTACACAGGATCCCACCTACAACCTACAATAGAGTAGATGCCCCCTGGGACCATCTACAACAGAGTAGATGTTCTCCCGGACCATCAACGATAGTGTAGATGTCCCATGGGAACATCTACAATAGAGTAGATGTCCCCTGGGAACATCTACAATGGAGTAGATGTCCCCTGGGAACATCTACAATGGAGTAGATGTCCCCTGGGACAATCTGCAATAGAGTAGATGTCCGCTGGGACTATCTACAATAGAGTAGATGTCCCCTGGGTACACCTACAATAGAATATATCCCCTGGAACCATCTACAATAGAGTAGATGTCCCCTGGGACCATCTACAAAAGAATAGATGTTCTCTCGGACCATCTACAAAAGAGTAGATGTTCTCTCGGACCATCTATAATACAGTAGATGTCCGCTGGGAACATCTACAATAGCGTAGATGTCCGCTGGGAACATCTACAATAGCGTAGATGTTCCCTGGAAACATCTACAATAGCGTAGATGTCCCCTGGGAACATCTACAATAGCGTAGATGTCCGCTGGGAACATCTACAATAGAGTAGATGTCCCCTGGGAACATCTACAAAAGCGTAGATGTCCACTGGGAACATCTACAAAAGCGTAGATGTCCCCTGGGAACATTTACAATGGAGTAGATGTCCCCTGGGACAATCTGCAATAGAGTAGATGTCCCCTGGGACCATCTACAATAGAGTAGATGTCCCCTGGGACTATCTACAATGGAGTAGATATCCCCTAGGACCACCTACAATAGAGTAGATGTCCCCTGGGACCATCTACAATAGAATAGATGTCCCCTGGGACCATCTACAATAGAGTAGATGTCCCCTAGGACAACCTACAATAGAGTAGATGTCCCCTGGGGCCATCTACAATAGAATATATGTCCCCTGGGACCATCTACAATAGAGTAGATGTCCACTGGGAACATCTACAAAAGCGTAGATGTCCCCTGGGACCATCTACAATAGAGTAGATGTCCCCTGGGACCATCTACAATAGAGTAAATGTCCCCCTGGGACAATCTACAATAGAGTAGATGTCCCATGGGAACATCTACAATAGAGTAGATGTCCACTGGAACCAGATACAATGGAGTAGATGTCCCCTGGGACCATCTACAATTGAGTAGATGTCCCTTGGGACCATCTACAAAGGAGTAGATGTCCCTGGGACCATCTACAATAGAGTAGATGTCCCCTGGGAGCTTCTACAATAGAGTACATGTCCCCTGGGAGCATCTACAATAGAGTACATGTCCCCTGCGAGCATCTACAATAGAGTAGATGTCCCCTGGGAGCATCTACAATAGAGTAGATGTTCCCTGGGACCATCTATAATAGAGTAGATGTTCCCTGGGACCATCTATAATGGAGTAGATGTGCCCTGGGACCATCTACAATAGAGTAGATATCACCTGGGACCATCTACAATAGAGTAGATATCCCCTGGAACTATCAACAATGGAGTAGATGTCCCCTGGGACCACCTACAATAGAGTAGATGTCCCCTGGGACCATCTACAATAAAGTAGATGTACCCTGGGAACATCTACAATTGAGTAGATATCCTCTGGGACCATTTACAATAGAGCAGATGTCACCTGGGACCATCTACAAAAAAGTACATGTCCCCTGGAACCATATACAATAGCGTAGATGTCCCCTGGGAACTTCTGCAATAGATGTAGATGTGTTTGGGGCCCCCTAAAATAGAGTAGATCTACAAAAGATGTCTCCAAGAAGCATCTGCAATAAAGTAATTATACCAGTAACCATCTGAAAAATATTTAATGACACCTAAGGCCATCGACAATAGATTATATGTCCTCAGGAGAGATCCACAATAAAGTTTATAATCCCAGAGATCATCTGCAAAAGAGTAGACGCCATCTGGGATCACCTACAATGATGTAGATGTCCCCAGAGGACATTTACAATGAAGTATGTGATCCCAGACACCATCTACAAAAAATAGACGACCCCAAGCACCATTCAGAATATCGTAAATGGTCCCAGGGGCCATCAACAGAATAATAGATGTCACCAGGAACCAACTTCAGAATAGTAGATGTCTCCAGTAGCCATCTTCAAAAGCGTAGGTGTTGCTAGGAGTCATCTTCATTAGTATGGATGCAGCTAGGAGTCATATCCAATACAGTAGATGCTTCCCGCGCCCATTTCCAAAGAATAGATTTCTATAGGGACCACCTTCCAAATATTCCTAGGATCTAACTACAATGGCTGCGAGGGACCATCTACAAAAGTATATAGGGGTCACCTACGCTTAGAGAAGCCCCTCCCTTAAAGTACATGATCCTAAGATACTTCGTCCCCTGAAACCCTCCCAACAAGGCCTCCTTTCATCTTAGAACACGTTACTATTTAAAATTTCCCCAAATTTTAGATTTTATCTCCTTGGGTTTCTTGCAAAAAAAAATACTCCTAACCATCATTAATGTCAGCTCCGATGATAAATGTTGATGGCATGAACCGTTTTCTCGCTTATGTTCTTCTCTAATTTCTTGTTCGTTTTTCGTTGTTGCTTTGTTTTTGCGCTTACCTTTTCTGCAGCTGATGAAACAGCTATCGATGATTGTTGTACACCTTCGGCGCGACTAGAGTGTTTTTCATAGCATGTGGAACAAATTTGCACCATGCCTGCAGGTGGGGGGGGAGAGAGAACGAGAGAAAAACGTTAATTTCTTTGAATTCCTCTTTGGCGGAGTTTTTTCTGCTGTTTCTGCTTACCTTGAGGGCTAATGGGACTAGCATTTTTATAGGCTGTCATTGCTTTTATGAATGGATAGTAGGGTTCTCGCTCCGCATTTGGACAACAATAGACCAGTCTTAATTGTGAGGATGGGGCATCGGTGCCGCAGGTATAGCAAACAAATTTGGCTCGTTCCACAACCGAGGCGGGTTTTTTCCTTAGATAATAGTTGCGTTCGCTTTCGGGTATTTGATTAGTCTGCGAAAGAGAGGAAGAGAGAGGGGGAAATATAAATTAATGTCTAAAGTTTTAAACAAATGTTACAAAATATTATTAATTTTTAATCGAATCAGAGTTCAAATTATGAATATTTTAAAAAACCCTTGAAGAGATGGCCTTTTAAGCCCAGTTGAATGAGAATCTCGATGAGATTTGAAGCAGTCCGGCTGTATGAGAAATTTCATAGAAAATCCTCAAAAAGTCGATATCATTCGAGGATATTAACTCTTCAATAGATGTCAAGCGAGGACATCTACTCTACTGTAGATGTCATCCGAGGGCAACTGCTCTATATCTACTCTACTGTAGATGTCATCCGAGGATAGTAGATGCCTTCTGACGACATGTAATCTACAGTAGATGCTTTCGGACGACATCTACTCTACAGTAGATGCCTTCTGATGACATCTACTCTACAGTATATGCCTTCTGACGACATCTACTTTGCTGTAGATGCCTTCGGACGACATGTATTTGACAGTAGATGCTTTCGGACGACATCTACTCTACAGTAGATGCCTTCCGACGGCATCTACTCTACAGTAGATGCCTTCTGACGACGTCTACTCTGCAGTAGATGCCTTCCGACGGCATGTACTCTGCAGTAGATGCCTTCCGACGGCATGTACTCTACAGTAGTTGCCTTCTGACGACATCTACTCTACAGTAGATGCCTTCCGACGGCATCTACTCTACAGTAGTTGCCTTCTGACGACATCTACTCTACAGTAGATGCCTTCCGACGGCATCTACTCTACAGTAGATGCCTTCTGACGACATCTACTCTACAGTAGATGCCTTCTGACGACATCTACTCTACAGTAGATGCCTTCTGACGACATATACTCTACAGTAGATGCCTTCTGACGACATCTACTCTACAGTAGATGCCTTCCGACGGCATCAACTCTACAGTAGATGCCTTCTGACGACATCTACTCTACAGTAGATGCCTTCTGACGGCATCTACTCTACAGTAGATGCCTTCTGACGACATATACTCTACAGTAGATGCCTTCTGACGACATCTACTGTGCTGTAGATGCCTTCTGACGACATCTACTCTGCTGTAGATGCCTTCTGACGACATATATTCGACAGTCGATGCCTTCTGACGGCATCTACTCTACAGTAGATGCCTTCGGACGACATATATTCGACAGTAGATGCTTTCGGACGACATCTACTCTACAGTAGAGGTCTTCTGATGACATCTATTCGACCTTAGATGCCTTCTGACGACATCTATTCGACAGTAGATGCCTTCTGACGACATCTATTCGACAGTAGATGCCTTCTGAAGATGACATCTACTCTAGAGTAGATGCCATCTACTCATCATGTCATCTGCGGATGACATCTACTCTAGAGTAGATGCCTTCTGACGACATCTACTCTATTCGACAGTAGATTTCTTCGGATGACATCTACTCTAGAGTAGATGCCTTCTGAGGACATCTACTCTACAGTAGATGCTGTCTGACGACATCTACTCTACAGTAGATGCCTTCTGACGACATCTACTCTGCTGTAGATGCCTTCTGACGACATCTACTCTGCTGTAGATGCCTTCGGACGACATCTATTCGACAGTAGATGCATTTTGACGACATCTATTCGACAGTAGATGCATTTTTGACGACATCTATTCGACAGTAGACGACATCTACTCTGCTGTAGATGCCTTCGGACGACACTACTCTACAGTAGATGTCATCCGAGGACAGTAGATGCTTTCTGACGATATGACGATATCTTCTGTACAGAAGATGTGTTTTGAGGGACCCCAGCGGCTATCTATAATAGAGTATATGCCCTTTAAGATCATGTACAATATAGCAGATGCCCTTAAGAACCATCTACAATAGAGGAGATGCCCTTAAGGGCAATCTACGGTAGAGTAGATACCTTTGGAGCCATTTACTGTACAGTAGATGCCCTTAGGGTCCTTCGAGGCTTTGGAATTTGTTTCCGAAATCCTCAATTTAACAGTGGAGTAGATGCCCTTAAGGGCAATCTACGGTAGAGTAGGTACCTTAGGGTCCTTCGAGGCTTTGGACTTTGTTTCCGAAATCCTAAATGTTCACACCCCCATTTGCCTTTTGCCCTCTTGACTTCTGGACACCTTTCCCATCTTGTTTTTTTTTTTTTCTTTGACTCACTGACTTGCCCGTTCCTTCATTCATTCAATCAGTCAGCCAATAATAATCAGTCAATAAAGCGAAAAAAGTTTAAATTCTTCTGTCAAAAGACGATTTATAACAGCTGAGCCGAAACAGCTGCCTGAACAACACAAAGCGAGCTCGTCGTCATCGTTCCCTTTCACCCAGCAGTTGGAACCCCCTTGCCAGCCCTCCTCTGTGTGTGGTAGAAGATGTGGTGGCCTTCGCAAGTTTTCATGTGCTGTTGTTGTTGTTGCTATTATTATATCAGTGGCTTTGGAGTTGTTGTTCCGAATATTTTCTTTTTCTTCTAATCATCAAAATATTTATGGATACATTTCGTGTTTGGTCGCAGTTTTGTAAATAAAGTGAGCAGAAAAGAAAAAAATGAAATGCCAACAACAACAACAACATGAACAACATCAACAACAAATAAAACATGACACAATAACAATAATGGCAATAAAACCAAAAAAAAAAATGGAAGGAGGAAAAAACCCCGACAAAAAGAAACATTTCAAAATCATTTTTTTTTTTGATTTGAAACAGTTTCGGTTCGCGTTTTTTTTCAAGCTTTTTCTTTCTTTTTGGGGTTTTTTTGCAAAGCGTGCTGCTATCGCAAAAAATATGATGAGTTTTTGGGAAGGGAGGGGGGCGGATGGTTTGTGGTTTTTGTTTGTTTGTTTTTTTTCGGTAATTTAGAGCATGGATTCCTCCAACCATTAGCCAGGCCGCCGCATTAGTGCAGAGTGAACTTGCCGGTGTGTGTCTAACTGTGTGTTTGTCTATCTGTGTGTGGGTTTTTGGCCCCATGATAAATTCATTGCCGCCTTGCTTCTATGGCTAGCTATTATGTTTTTTTTTTCTGTTGTTATTTCTACCACTTCTGCTCCAGGGTGTTGTTGTTGTTTTTGTTTTTGGTTTGCAATTTAATCTTTTATAGCACGGCATAGCTCAGACTGGGCTGGGAGGCAGGCAGGCAGGCAGGCTCTCTTTCCGGCAAACACTTCAAATGTCAATAAACTTGTTCATATTTTCGTTGTTGAGGTTGTTGTTGTTGCTGCTGTTGGTTGTTCTTTTTTTGTTTTTGTTTTTTTTTTTTTGGTGTGTGAAATACTTTATTTGTTTAATGAAATTTTTATGCAAATTAAAATTTGTGTGTTGTTTCTTTTTTTGTTTCTAAAGCAATGAAAGTTAAATGCCGCTGCGCTGCTGCCTGGAATCCGGTCTGCCAACCAAATGGTTTCTCTTTAAAGCGCAAAATGATTTTTTTTTTTTAAATTTATGGCGGTGTCATAAAGAATAAAGATTTGGGCAAGATTTCAAGTCATAAATTTTGGCAGAGGAAAATTATGCTTCTGCAGTAGATTTTTGTAGAGAGAAGAGCCTTCACAAAGGGGCTGCAACAGATAGAAGAGCCCTTGGAGTCAAGTTTTCCTCATTCTAATGCTTGAAAACTATTCATAACGAATTTTGCGTTTAGTTGTCTTTGAGAAAAATACTACAAAAAATGTGCCTTACTTTCATAAAAAATACTTCGTGAAATTGTTCCACAAAAAAAAATCTTAAAAAATTTAAAAAAAAATTAAGGAAATGGCCTTCGGAAAAAAATATTTAAACAAATGACCCTAAATTCTCCTGGGAAAAATATTCATGTAAAATGTCACTGCCGTTGGGCCTTTGGGAAAAAAATATCAAAAATTCAACCACTGATTGTTCCGCAAAAAAAAAATTAAAAAAAAACTCAAAAAATTGAGGAAATGGAAAAAATTTTCAAACAAGTAAAAAAGCTGTAAGTTTTAATACCCTCCACCTTACCTTTTGGTACAAATTTGGCAATTTCCAAAAAAGAGAAAAAAATAAAATCCGTTAAAAATTCTGTTAAAATCTTAAAAATACCGAATGCCAATATGACGACGTGGACCTGCATAGGCAACTTTTGTCATAAGTTATTACAATATTTAAATGCGAAACTTGAAGAAAAATCTGTTTATAATGTAGCTAAAATCATAAAAATACCGAATATAGCGAGGTACCGTTATATTGGGACTATACGAAGACGTGGACCTGTACAGACAATTTTCTGTCATAGGTTGTAGTACCCATTACGAACTTTAAATACCAAATTTAAAACAATTCCGGTGAATAATGTCGTTGAAATCATCAAAGAACCGAATATCGGGAGGTACCGTTATATGGGGGCTATATGAAGACGTTGACCAGCACAGACAATTTTCTGTCTTAGGCTGTAGTATCCATTTCGAACTTCAAATACGAAATTTGAAACAATTGCGGTGAATAATGTCGTTAAAATAACCAAAATACCGATAAAAGGAGGTTCCAAAACGTGGAGCTACATCACCCATTTTCAATACCAAAAGTTCTGCAGACATAATACACATTTGAGTAAAATTTTATCAACCTACTTCATTTCGTTCGGCAGCTAGAGTGATTTCCACAGACGAACGAACATCGCTAAATCGACAAAGATCAAGAATATATATACTTTGTGGGTTCTAAAATGTATATTTCGAGGTGCTACAAACGGAATGACAAACTTAACATACCCTCCATACTATGGTGGAGGGTATTAAAATGACCTTAAATTCTTCATTCATAGAAAATGTCACTGCCGTTGGGCCTTTGGGAAAAAATTTCAAAAATTCTCCGATTGTTCCGCAAAAAAATCTTAAAAAAACTCCAAAAAATGAGGAAATGGAAAATATTTTCAAATAATTAAGGCTTAATTGTCCTGAAAAAAAATGTTCATAAAAAATGTCACTGCCATTGGGCTTTTTGAAAAAAAAAATATTAAAA